ACTTGCTGGCATATTGAGTGCAGCACTTTAACAGCATCATCTTTTAGTATTTTAAATAACCAAACCTTCTTATGTAAATCCAAAAATAAGTCCTTACCCAGGTCTCTTTTCATCTCTTGGTTTGTCTCTTCATCTCTTTTTCATCTCTTGATTTGTCATGTGTTTCTGCTCTGTCATCTCTGTTTTATAATCCTCCATTTCTTTATTTTCCAATATTTCTCCATCAGCTAGGATTTCTATCTCCTATTCATCCTGTCCATCCATAAATTCTTCCATATTTTTGTTTGTCACATCTTCTTTATATTCTTCTTCAAAAAATACATTTACAAATGCAGAGATTTGTCAGTTTGCAGATTTCACTTTTCTTTTCCTGCCTGGAAATTTAGTCCCCTCTAGTGGCCCATTTCTATATTTATGAATTCTCATGTTTCATTATTACCTTACTTTGTTTTCAACTTTCAGCCGATAAACTCTTTCCTGGTAGACTAAACAATTTGCATTCCCATGGGGACATTGTTTTGTTTACTCAATTTTTCAAAAATCTTAGCAAAAGTCCTAATATTCCAAATTCATCTGGTTCCTTAATCTATTTAAAACATTCTTAAACTAAATTGTTGTTCAGCTTTTTGCCATTTGTTTTATATTCTTTAAGTTCTTTACTAATTAGCTTTTCTTCTATTTTGGGAAGAAGTTTTATTCACCAGGTAGTTTTTCAAACTTGTTGTTTGGAAGATCTCTTTTAGCTGTAAAATAATTGTAAATCCAAAGATGATTAGAAAATGAGGTGGACAAACCCAATGTCCTTAAAGGCTCCGCATAGTTGAGAGCTTGGTAGTTTCCCGTCTTCTGTTGCTCAGACCCATGGGATGACTGCTATCCTGTGGTCTCCTCACAAGCAGCAGCCATCCGGAGCACAAGTAGGTGCTCTCTGGTCCTCTCCTTTATTTAGAGGGGTTCTGTTGGACTGAGCTTGATGCCAGTCCATCAGTTGTCACCACATTGCTGTCTCCACTCTTTCAGAGATGTCCAGTTCATTGTTTTTCTCATCTGGAAGTCCATTCCTAGTCTAAATTTAGCCAACAACAGAATTAGTGAAAAGTTAGTACATGTCTTGAACCAAGAAATAATGCCTTTCTCAACCTTTGTGCCTTATTGCAGATGAAGAACCACATTTACCTACAAAGCCCTATGAGCTAAAAAGCCGGATGTTTGTCCCACCTGGAAATCTAGCCACAACACTTCGAGCTGTTTTGACAGATCGCCTATCTGTTGCAGAGTATCACAATTTTCTGAAGGGTTTTCAGCTACATGACAGTTATATGGAGAATACAAATTTTCAGAGATGGAAAGGTGAACAGCACATGTATTTTCTAAATATAGTTCTAAATATAGTTAACATAGTGTTAGGACTAGACCATTAAAACGTATGAGTGCATTTGGGATTAAAATCTTAGGCTGGAGATATACATTGTTCAATTTAGGTCTGAATTTGGGTTCAAAATGGATGCCAAGGGCCCTGCCTTCCCAAATTAAAAACAGTTAATATGATTATTCTCCATATATTGAATAATATCTCCCACTGCATTAAGCATTGCTGCTGAGTAGCAAATTTTAGAAAGACATAATTCCAGAATTATTTAATAGGAATACTTAAGCATACTTTGGGGGAAGTAGCACATTCAACACTCGGCAAATCATAAGCTATGATTGGTGCATCCAAAAGGTTGAGTAAAAATCCTCTAAGAATTTAATGCAATTCAATAGTAAAAAATAGCATTGTTTCCAGATGACAAAAAATGTGTTTCCTTCCAGCTACTATATTGGATTGTTGTCCCAATCAACTAACAGGATATGATGACCACTTAGGCCTAGTGGATGCTGGATTTTTCATCAATACAAGTTGCCCACCACTCTTAAGACTAGAGAGAAAAGTGGATCTCATTGTGCATTTGAGCTACAGTGCAGGTTCACAAACACTGGTAATAAATTTTATTTTCTTGCTTGCTTATGTCCAATATATACGGTAGAAGTTATACTATGCCTTTCATGGAGACAACAAAATTCAGCAAAATCTCGGTGGAATTTGCCCACAGGTTATTTTTAATAGTAAAAGAAAAGATTGAGAACATACAGAAAAGCATACCATATTTATGTAATTGTATACTTGTCTATTCTGAAAGAATTATCATGAAGCTCAATGGGTCTGACTTCCAAATGAGAGTAGGATTACTCTTTTAAAAGATAAAAACAGAAAAAAGTAAATTTTAGCCCTTTCAGTCAGTGGTGTCACAGGGAGAGGGAAGTGGCCACAATGAAAGCCCTGCTCCTTTTTACACATATTACATGTGTGACACACATAAACAAGGAGAAAGGAGAGGGACTTTGATTGCATAGTCATGGCTGTCAACTTGGACACCCTCACTTCCAATCATGAGAAAGCAATACAAATTCTCCTTGAATGAACCAGTTGTTTCTCTCTGCTTCAAGTACTGTATTGTTTAGTAATTTATGCCATTTCTCAAATTATAATTCCTCCCGAGGTGAGGTTGGCCCCAACCTTTCTGGCCTTCTGAAAGGCCCTTAAAACATGGTTTTATAGATAGATAGAGTGGACCCTACCAGATGACTCTATGACAGTTAGTGGAATGTACTATGTGTGTTTTGCCACCATTTTGTTTTTTTATTTGTTTTTATCTTGTTTTTATTTTTAATTCAAATTGGTTGTTTTAATGGTTTTTATATACTTTTGATTATTATTATTATGCACACCACCCAGAGTCACTATGTGAGATGGGTAGCTGTACAAATGTGATTAAATAAATAATACGGAAGTTATATATTTTAGGTAACATATTTCAGCCTTATTTTAGGCAACTGCCTGAGGTGCCCCAATTCCCAAAGCCCTGATCTCAGGAGAGTGGGAAGAAATTGGATGATGCCTTTAAAACCTCTAAAGCCTAATCAGGATCATAAACACCATGTTAGAAACTAAGTCCAGGGTTGAAGACAGGCTATTTCTTACCAATTTGTTAGTTGCATATGAATGTAAGGCAATACAGTCTGTGTAAATCATGAAGTCCTAAGTTCAGACATTGTTAATTCTTGTGGTAGTATTATATTATTCTTTTTACTAGCTGTCAATCCTAATACTTAGGTTATAAGAAGCAAGGTGACCATTTAAGAAGTTCACCATAAACGTATTCCGTTCAATAGTCTCAAAGTCTAATTTCTACTAATTCTTGGGTCTGTAAACCCAAACTTTCCTGTTGACTTGGTACTATATGATTGGTGTTTTACTGTAGTGCAATATGAACAACTGGGCTTCAAAATGGCTTGCTCTCATTTCTCATGAAATCTCTTTCTTTGATTTTCATATGAGTATAGCCTCTAGAAGAAGCTTGCAAGTACTACACAGAGCAAGGGATCCCATTTCCAAATGTTGTCCTAACAGATGAAGATAGGAAACACCTGAAAGAATGCTACTACTTCAATCAGTCAGAGACCCCTGGTTGCCCCATCTTGGTATTCTTTCCACTAGTGAATGATACTTTCCAACATTATAGTGCGCCTGGTAAGTTATTGGTAGTAATCAAGCAACTGGTTATGGTTTAAATGGAGCTTACAACTTTGCTTATTATTAGAGAAAGTGTTGTGTGCTTAAGCTTTGCTGATGGAACTCACATAATCCTTGATTAGGAAAAGCTGATTTTTGCAAAGATGCATCAGGGCTTCCAGATTGCTATGACCCCTTATGTTTACTTCTTTGTCCATTATGAAGATAAAAGCAAACATGCCATGATTAACAACAATTCATAGTATGTCTTAAAAGATAGCAATGAGGAACAAAAGAATTATTAATATTGTGTCTTTGCAATACTGTAAACTAGGCAATCATGCTTATAAATCAGTTCTCTTTTCTTAACTAAATGCTCAAGATAATACATCAGTGTAGAACAGGAATGATCAACTCCTGTTCTATGGTCTCCCCAGGATCCCACTTGTGGTGTTCTGGCATATCCAAAAGCTGCCTTGATTTTTTGAAAAATTGTTAAAGATTTTAAAAATCTAGGAGACAAGCCACTCCAATTTTTACCCTTCTCCCTCTACCCCATATACAGAAATTGCACTGCTGAAATTCAGCTATTTTGCCATCAGATGTTCATAGTAAGTGGAAAGTTTGCCTTTCAGAGATTCACTTTCCCATTTCTGCCCTTAAACCCCCCAAAAGGATCAGCCTGTAGAGAGCCATGGAGATGGCCTTGAAGAGAATATTCAGAAGCCTTTACAGAAACAAGGGCAGAAAAATACCTTGAGCTCTGGGAAAGGAAATGGTGTTAGGAAGTGATTCAAGCTGGCTCCTCCTTGAATCAGTTGGGTATAAGAGGAAGGGAAGGTAAAATACAAGCAGACCTGCAAGACCGTATCTCAGTAAAGCCTATCTCAATAAAGTATAATCCCAGCCTTCCTTTGGAGTCAGTTTCCTGATCTGGTCTACCTCATAGGACTGACACAGCCCCACCCTTTCTTGTTAATAATGCCCACCTTCCATCATTGTCATCATCATTATCAATCACCTTCCAGATAGTCAGGAAACAAGCTACCACTCCTAACTTTGGGAAATTTGTCCTTGACTGTTTTAGGGGCATTGTGAAATGTGGGGAGGGGGGACCCATTTTCTGACGCTTTTATTCTCATATCTTTTCATCCACCCTGACTGATACCTACCAATCTCTCTGTACCTTCCTGGCACTGAGTTTCTAAGTGTAAGGACCAGCCAAACTCAGAAGCCAATGGTGGTGATATAGGGAGGAATGCATTGTTGTAGTTTCTTGTCTGAACTTGAAGCCCTCTCTCTGACCTCAAAAGGAGAAATCTGAAGAACCTGAATTCTCTTAGAATGCTCTCCTGGAGGCTATAGGACTGCAGCCTTTATTTGGCCAAAATAAGATTATGCCAATAGGTACAAGATAAAATGAGTGCATTTATATTATGCTAGATTAGATTTAAAAAATAAAGTCCAGATGCTAAAAACTTTTCATTAAATAAATATTCATGGTTTTTTCTCCTGAAATAAGCCAATAATAAAATAACCCTCAATTTTTTGTTATTTATCCTAGGTGAGAAACGCTGCGAAGCCAATATGGCTGCAGGCAACATTGACGTTTCTACTTGCCAAACCCCATATTCCACTTACTGTCTGAGATACTCTGATGATGATTTTGACAAGCTTGTGAACCTAAGTGAATACAACATCTTGAATAACCAGGACATAATTTTTCAGGCTTTGCATGCAGCTGTAGAACGGAAAAGGCAGCACTGCTGCAAGAATTAACCTCCTTTCTGTGCATCATAATAAATTGATTGTGGTTGCCTTTCTTTCTGTCAGATTACTTTATACAATAACAAAGCACTATTGCACCTTAAAGACAAACAAGTGTGTCATAGAATGACATAGCATCATCCCAGCCCTGAAGGAGTTCATGTCAATGTGTCAGTATTGTGGGCATGCCTCTTTAGATATTAAACAATAATTATGTTCATAAGTGCTAAATTCATTGTAGATTTTGTCCTGACATTCACCCTCTATGCCATCTGAAGGTTTGATATATACGTCTGAAAAAATGGACAAATATAGCTGGAACAAGAGTAACAGTAGAATGGGTGGTCAGCAGTTTCTGTCCCACTCTATGGACATGCAGAATGGAAGACGTTATGAACCTTGTTACAGAGCAATTCTAATACTTCCTCTGAAATTTTACCCATTAAAAAGTGCAGTTCCTTTTTTTTTTTTTTTTAGCAACATGAGCCCCCATCTCCCAGTGATCAGATTGGAAGCTTGGAGTTATAGGGTAAAGCTTTCAGTTATAATAAATTCTTTCTTCATTCTTTCTGTGAAAAGGAAACATTTTCAGGTTAGCAATTGCTACTCCAGAATTGAGAATGTAGTTTGCCTTGCTTGCAAAGACTCACCTGTTGCTTCTTGTCCTGCCTTCCAACTGTTCTTCTTTCATTCTGGCTTGATAAAGGAACCAAAATGCACAAATCCTGGCTTAGCAGTATTTTAAGGGAGCAAAGTGTGACACTATGCCAGCATAGAAACTCTCCTTTATTTCCACAAACATTTTTTTTTTTTTACTTTGGAGAAAGGGTGAGGGTGAGGGAAGCTGCAGAGATAGGACAAGTCAGTCAGTTACTGGCTTGGCAACAGAACAGACATAAAGGGCAACTATTGACCAGATGGTCTTTCCCAAGGCTTGCAAGTATTTAAACAGGCCTAGCTCTAAAGTAAACATATCTATCTATCTATCTATCTATCTATCTATCTATCTATCTATCTATCTATCTATCTAGTTGCTAAGAGTTGAAAATGACTTGATGACATATAATCATCTCCATAGTATAGTATTCCTGAAGATCTATGCATAGTCAAAAGAATCAGTTCAATCTCAGATGAATTCTAAGATGGACTTGGAAACCTTGGGCTGGTTGCCTGAAGTCACTTGAAGGTTCCAACAAACAAACAAAAAGCCAGTTTAGTCTAGCGGTTAAGGCACCAGGCTAGACAGTAGGAGACTGTGAATTCTAGTCCTGCCCTAGGTACAAAGCCAGCTGGGTGACCTTAGGCCACTCTCTCTCTCTCAGTCCTAGAGAAGGAGGCTCTGTCAAACCAGTTCTGAAATCTTGCCAAGAAAACTGCTTAGACTTGTCCAGGAGACCTCACAGGGTTCTTGTGGGGAAAATAGGAGGAAGGAGTATTAGGTATGTTCACCACCTTGAGTTATTTATAAAAATAATAAAGGCAGGATAAAAAAAAAAACTAAAAAAAAACAACCTCCAAGCCCTGCCAGTTGCGGGCCAGCAGTGTGGAAATAAGGATAGACAGATATTTGCATTTGGTGGTTCAGTTCAGTTGGTTATTATATCTGGAATAGAGAGGAATGTTTGGAAAGGAGGGGAAAATGTATTTTGCCCCTCGCAACACAATGTCTTATGATTATTCAGTCTTGACACTATTTCACTCAAATGGCATTTTTTTTCATCCCTAAATTGCTTACATCTCTTGAGTACTATGATTTGCATGTTCATTCATAACCTTAAAATGAACTTTGGTATGTGTGTGTGTGTGCGTGCGTGTGTTTTGCTGGAGTAACTTTAGCATCATGTGGTTGTGCATTCTGTAATAATAGATATAGTTATTCATCTTGCCAAAGACTTTCATCCAGAAATTATGTGTGATACCTCACACTCAGCACAGGACTGGTTTGACAACCTTTCCCGAAACTCTGATTCTTATATTGCTTTATGAGAAACTGCCTAGGGTAATACAGTCACCAAAGCAAATGAAGCACATTCTAAAAATATTATAAATGCAATAAAAATCCATTTCCAAATCTCTCTAATGATAGACAAATATGCAGTTAGGAGTAGCGTGGCTTACACCATGTTCTATGGTCCGGAATGAGAAAATAATACCAGTTTATACACCACTTTCATAAGCAGTTTCCACTTCTGGCTTGCAGAAGCCAATACTTCTAAGAAACCTGAGAGGAGAAATTGCATACGGGAAAAGGGGAAGTTTTGTGTATGCATTAACTGTGTTCATTTTTGCATATTGTATCACAGAAATGTCTTATATCAAACTCTGTTTCTTTTCCAGAATTAATTTCCTGGTATGCTGGTTTTTGATAATGGTCCTGAAGTTCACTTGATTATGTAATCCTTTCCTGTCTATGCTGCAGTTGCAGTACTATGATCTCTGTATTGGCATATAAATTCTGTAATCACAATCACTGTTAGATTAAGGGATGGATAAAACATGCTTCGTACAGATACAAAACTGACCCAGATGTTCCTAGTATACCTACTCTGTGACAACATCCTGCATATGTTCCCAAAATTCTAAATGTAGCTATTAGCCCCCACAAAACTCTCTCTCTGCTTTACATAATAAAATGAAGATAGGCCTTTCTCTCATGGAGAGGGTTTTTTTATTTTATTTTAATTTCTATATCACATCCGATTAGAACTGAGAATAATATTAATTAGCAAAAGGAGAAGGAAAACACAATAAGGGTAGAATGTAAGCATACATTATTCTGTATTTAGACTTCATTTTAACTGCAGATGAGAGTAAAAACGTGACAAAAGCTTCATATGAACTCCACAAATGCATCAATGTGGTATGAAAAATGCTTATCGTTGGACCCAGTGAGAAACCTTTTATAAGTTTAACTGAGTCAGGCATATGTAGACTAACAATACCTCTCTGATTAAGCAATTAGATTTATAAACAAGCTCTCTTTGGAAAAACGTATTTCAAGTCTAACTGAAACCCACAGTAGTGATGGGAGGGTTTTTTTTTCAAGGGCTGTTGCAAATGAACGGGAACAAGAAAGGAAAACAATCTGCAAGCAGACAAGGGAAACCCTGCTGGCACCATTATCTGTCTGTTTTCAGCAAAAACACAGCTTATTCTGTGCTGAGGGCAGCAGTTTAGTTTTAATAGGAGCACTAGACAACCAGTGACCCACTGGTCATCATTTCAGAGATATTTCCTTAACTAAACAGAGAAACAGAATGATCAAGGGCAAAAAAGCAGTGGGAGTGGGAGTGATTTGCAACTTGCTGCTGGCTTCCCCACTGACTTTGCTAGTGGGAAGCTGGTGTTGCCTTTAAAACTCAGGCACCCCGAGTAGCATGGAGATGAAGACCTGTTCCCTGAATTTGGGAGAGAAAACCATTTTACCTTTGCAAAGGTGGCTTCTTAGCCTACCTGAAAAAATGAACCATCCAGTAATTCAGGCAAAGCAAAAAGCATTTATTACGGGGAATCAAGTCTTTTTATAGGGCACAGAAATAAATGATACATACATTCGGTATATGTGATACATCAGAAAGCAAGTAATCAAACAGTAAAAGACATTAATTACACTTGATTGAACAATAGAAAACATAGATTCCAGATAACATTTCACAAGTGGCAAATTTATGGGTTCTGTCATTCCCTTTCCCAGCCAGGTTTGTATCTTTAAAACTGGCAAGTAAATTCAAGGACGTTCGGAATACGCTCTCTATTGTTTGGCTGCTGAAAAGGCAAGTTCTCAAATATACGAAAAGAAATGGCCTTGGCCCAGAAGAAAAACATGCTTTCCTAAAGTTAGAAAAGAGGCCTAGATTGCCATGTTAAAAAATGCTAATATCACCTTTTTAAAATGCTAATAATGAAGCCTAAAATTCCAGGTAACACTGGCAGAAGTCTTCCTCCCTCCCTCCCTCCCTCCCTCCCTTCATTTCCATAGCTAATAACAAATTTATTTATTATTCATCTCTCCTGGATGTATTTATTTATTATCCATCTCTCCTGGATATAGGCTTATGCCATTTACCCTCCCCTCACTACTCTCAGCTTAGCCCCAGTGAAGCTGCCTCCTCCCCCTCCTCCCCTCCTTCTCCTTGGTCTGCCGCTTTGCTGGGGGGAGGTGAAACCAAGGGAGCTGCGGTCTGTGAGGAAAATTGCACCCCCACTCCATATTGCGGCATGTCCTCAAGGGCCCCTTCCCTCGAGGGAGGAAAAGGGCTCACCCATTAACCATCGGCACCCCCCACCTAGCCCTACCTTGCCAACAGGCATCCAAGTCGCTCCCTTGTCCTTCCCTCACCACCAACTGCCATTAAGAGATTTCAGATTTCTGCCTCAGTTCCAAAGCAGCCAATCACCGCTCACCTGTCAGGCCTTGCCAGAAGCAGATTGGGCACAGGGGATAGAGGGAGGTGGGAAAGAGGTCAGGAATATGGCCATGACAATTACGTGACCTGGGCTGACTGCTGCAGTGCAGTGCTGAAACAGCCACAAATTTCCCAAATTTCAATCCCACGCGAGTCATGGGTCCTTACATTCTGTAAGTTAGCCCATGTGAGGTACCATTGTTGGGAAATTGTCGCCCTCCCACCACCATTTCACCCAGTTAAAGGTTACAGACAGGAGAGTTTTAGAAGTATATAGATGCTGAAAAAGCAGCTGATGCCAGGGGGAGCTAAACTTGACGTGATTTCCTTGAATTAGAATGACATTAATTAAATATAGTTAAAATCACCCCTCAGTCATATTCTTAACATTACAGTCTGTGGCAACTTCTAGAGAGCATTTATGGTCCTCACTCAATGTTTTCAGGTTCATGTGTAATCCTAGAACTTCAGTAGTACACATCTGATTTAGAGATTTAAAAATAGGCTTAATTTACACATAAAGCCAGCAGTCACTTAAAACAACAGCCAAGAGATAAAGATTAACTTTGATTCTATGACAAACAGGAATACCGTGGTATGCCTGCT